ACAAGTCCCCAGGAGCACCCACGTCCCTGCCACCCGCAACTACACCAAGGGGCTGGGCGCCCGCATCCACCCCGCCAAGGAAAGCTGAGATGGAGGTAAAGAAGCCACCTTGTTCTGCGGGTTAAATCTAGTCCTGCACGCTCTGCGTGGGCAGCGGGGCGAGCTGCACAGGGGAAAYGCACCTAAACGAAGGTGCCCCTCGGCCTGACGCAGCTCCTGGCTGCAGGAAGGCACTCAGGGGCCGGGGCAACTGCTGCCCTGAGTATGCTGAAAAGCAGCCCATGTTTTCACAAGCTGGACATGAAAGGAGGTGGCTGGGGCTCTCAGTGTGCCCAAGAGCTGTGAAAAGGTGAACTGAAAATACCTCGTGCAAATGTAGAGTGCACTGCTCCCTTGGCAGCTCACAGCGAGGCAAAAAGCAGTCCTGTGGTCATCTCACTTGGCCTTTTTCTTCTTTTTAATAAAGACACAGACTCCTAAATTTCTGAGTGATTTGACGAAACTCTTCCCGCTGCTCCCTGGATGTGGAGCCTTTGCAGCCGCAGCCCGGACAGGCCCTGCAGCTCCTTGTAAAGAAGCAAGCAGTGAGAGCCCCGCTGCTCCGCAGAAGCGAGCCKTCTGCCCAGCCTTTGCAGGACAAAGCACAGACCCAAGCACAGAGCTGCTCTCCGAGGGGGCTCTCTGGCAATCCCGCCACAGCAAAGCCCTCTGCAGCAGGAAATCTATTGTCACGGGGCGAGCGGGCTGCCCGGCTTAGCTGGCTGCCTCTGAGCTGGGCCTTGAAGGCACTTGGGTCTCCAAAGCAAAGTTTGCTCTRGGCCCTGAGGAGGCTTTGCTCCAGCTGAACCCCTGCTGGCTTCCAGGACAGCCTAGGTGGAGTRAAACTGAGTGCAGACTTGGAGACCTGGCCCTTCAGGAACCAAGATTTGGTTAAAAGCTGACTTTTGAAGTCACAAAAATCTCTCGGCYGTTGAAACTCAATGCCAAGTTTGAACACAAACCTGTAGAAAAGCTGTTTCCCTTGTGTAAATCCTGTGTGTTAACACGATTACCTCTGCCGGGCAGGTGCCTCCCCACGTCCCTGTTTGCTTTGGCGCAGGCGCTGCCCCTCTCACCTCTGCAAATCCATGTAATTTAGTGCAAAATCCTGCCCTTGGTTAGGGGAGAGCGCCAGAGAGCTGGGTGAGAGGCTGCCAGCCACGGTGGGCAAGGGCCGGTGCCCACGGCTGCGACACTGGTGCCCACAGCCCCTGCCTGCCCCTCACTTGGCCCTCAGGCTCTTGCTGGTGTCGCCCGGGSTCCGTCCTCACCGCCCTGCTAACGTTCTCCATGCTGGAATCACCTCGTTTGAGGACTTTGGCTTCCAGGAAAAACAAAAACAAGTTTTTAGCCATTGAGATGTAGGGAGGAAGGGGCCAAGTTCTTCTCAGTGGTGGCCAGTGACAGGACAAGGGGCAATGGGTACAAGTTGTTAGAACACGCAGTTCCATCTGCACATGAGGAAGAACTTCTTTCCTGTAAAGGTGCCAGAGCCCTGGAAGAGGCTGCCCAGGGAGGCTGTGGAGTCTCCTTCYCTGGAGATCTTCCAAACCCGCCTGGCTGCCACCCTGTGCCCCGTGCTCTGGGTGTCCCTGCTGGAGCAGGGGTTGGACTGGATGGTCTCTAGAGGTCCCTTTCAACCTCAACCATCCTGTGATTCGGTGAGATGACATAAAAATATGAGATTACAACTCTCTAAGGCTCCAAACAAGACACTCAATTGCTGACACCTTCAAGCACCACTCTAGGGCTCCCTGCAGAGATTTTTGGGAGCCAGCTGTAGCGCTCAGGGTTGATTTCACTGCCTCTCTTCCCTGTGCAGACCAGACAGTGCCTGACTCGCCACTCGCCTCCTTGCTGTTTGCTCTCTTAAYGTTCTTAGGAGTAGAAAGTAGCATCTGTTTTTTTTTTCTTTTTTTTTTTTTTATGATTAATAGAAGTAAATTCTGCTTTAGAAACAGGTCAAAGAGGTTAAACAGGACACAATTAGCACTAGTAAAGACTTTTTTCATTAGCCAAAAAAAAAGTGTWTCTAGCAAGACCAGGTGCTAAGGACATGTGCACACTTTGGTATCAAGGGCAATACCCAGTTCTCCCCGTGCTCCTCCTGACCCTGCAGAGAGGACCCAGGTGCCATCCTGCCCACACTGCAGGGAAAGGGGYTGAGGGGCAGCAGCCTGTGGGCACCCTGTTGTGCAAGGCTAGAGGCTCTCCCTGCTCTCCAGGGCTTGTGAACTGCTTTTTGTTTAGCAGAATAATCCTTAACATCCACATCTCGCACCTCATTTTTCCCTCTCAGGCCTAAGCAASGCTAAAAGCAATTAGCTCCTTAAATCTCTCTCTTATCTGTAATTGGGTGTGATTTCTTTTTGTTGTTTGTGAAAAAGAGCCAACACTGAACAAGAATAGCAGCCTCCACGTGAGCCAGGAGGCCCTGAGGACAGGCAGTTTATCCAGTCTATCTTCGGGGCTGCCCGGGCGCACTGGCATCTAGGGATGTGTCTGCAGGAGGGCATGGATGTACCTGGGCAGCTTTCACAGAGATCCCTGCTTCCCATGGAAAATGGGGAGGCTGCGGTGGGCACACACTACCCRGCACTCCCCACTTCCAGCAGCTTGGAGAAGTGTGGGAAAAAAACAAGGGGGAATTGGAGAGGCTGGGAGGGCACCAAATGCCCGGGATGCCCCTTTCCCAGCCCCAGCCTCCCCTTGGGACGAGCGCGRGGTTTCAAGCAGGTGTGAAGGAGCCAGGAGACACAGAGGAGATAAAAGGCCGAGGGCCATGGCGCAGAGGCCGCCTCAGCAGCACGGAGGCTCCTAGCAGGCAGAGGCCCCATTATCTAGTTCACAGATGGACCACCCAGAAAATGTGGGAGCAATTAGGAGGGAGAACAAACAACGGCGGGGAGAGCGGGCGGAGGGAGGCCGGGCAGCAGGGCCAGGTCCCAGGCCTCACATCATCTCCAGGCGAGCGTTGCGGGAACGAAGCGAAGCTGCCCGGAGCAGCGGCAAGGCACATGAAAGGGCTGGCAGGGAGGATGCCGTAAAAGAAAGGGCTGTGAAAACACGTAGCCTCTGACTGAGTTACAACACACTGGCCGCTACATTTAGCTAATGTTTGGGATGGTGTGTAAATAAGGAGGGAGCCCATGCAGCTGTGGGCGGCGCACATGCGTGTGCACACACGTGAGCACGGTAAATGCTGCCTCTCCGTCACTGCCACTGCTTGGCTTGCAGCCCAGGGATTCGGCAGGCAAAAGCACAGACCTTCTTCCTTCTGTTAACAACGGGTAGCTAACAGGGGCACAAAGACCAAATATTATGAACTGACACAAACGCACCTCTAGGTCCTGTGCACGGATGGAAGTGCAGCCCCAGCTCCAGGAATGGGGGCTCACACGGATGGACCTCTGGGTCTGGAGCAGCCCGTTCCCAGGGGCACTGGATGCTACTTTGGGGATATCTAATCTCTCTATYCATCACCAGCCAGGCTGGCCTGACTCCTGGCACTTTGCTTTTGACCAGCTTCAAGGTGACTACTCAGACTCTCGAAAGCAAGGCCCATTTCTAATTAAATGCCTGATTTTATGCACTTTGATTTGCTGATTTTTGGCTGTGGCACAGAGCACAGGCTTTGTTAAATTGTGCTACAAAACTTGCTTTTTCATTTTGCATGATTCTAAGCACAGATTCTAGGAGCACCATTTATAAATTTTATTTTATAAGAGTCAAACATAATGGCAAGAGATGACTCATAAAATGAAAAGAATAAAACAAGTGTTTTGAAGTGATTTCCATCAGTAACACTGTTTACTTTGCCTTGGCCTCTGACAGGCAGACTCTGGTCACTAAGGATGTCTTACAAGCRCATTAAAGTTGACAGAGAATCGTTTTTTTTTTTAATTACAATTTATTACAGGCTTGGTAAGCTCACTCCCTGAAAAAATTCCCTAAAAAATAGTGCTTATTAACTCACAAGTTCAGTTGAAAAAAAAGTACTTCCCAGCTTGCCTTAGCAGCAGCTACAATATGGCAATTAGTTTACCTCAGAATAGACATCAAAGGCTCAAAGGATGACCCTGCCCCTCAAGAACAAAATCTTTAAAAAGCCCCATTCCACTCAGTTTGCTACTTTATAAGGTTTGCTAAAATCCAGTTTAATAATCATACAGTCTCCTAGCAAGTCATGCTGGTGCCTTAATGTTTCAGGAACAGAAGAGTTAGTCCCGAACCCTTTCTGAATTTGGGAAGCTTTTCTGACTAGCTGCTGCAGAACCACATTCTGAGGTGGCAAATGAAACTCTTGGATGCAAAATCCTCCCTATGATTTTCTTTAGCTTCTTTCCCAGGAGACAAAAGTTGCCACATGACACACACTCTCCTCACAATGAAGGATTCAGTCCTAGCAATATGTTCAAATCCATATGGTGTGGATACCTGGGAGAGGCATGACGAGAAACTGAGACTCCTGAATGAAGGAGCCTATAAAATACAGCAGAAAAGAGCAAAAAGCATGAAAAAGAAAAAAATATTCATGAGGTGAAACTAACCAAATAATTTTTTGGGGCCCAATGGATTAAGCAGTTCTCTTTTTAACAACAGTTTMACTCTCTTCATATCCTGAGTCACAGTTTCCTCCCTTTGACATGGTTGTCTGATTGATTTTTTTTCCCCAAGGGCAAGGAAAATACCCTCTCTTCTCTAAAACTGTAGGCAACAGTATTACATGTTACCCAGCAGGAGATTAAGCTGCAGTTTCTAATAGAGCCTCATAGCAACAATGACGGAGAAATGAAACTGGAGGGGTTGATTTGGGTGAGGATGTGGAAAGGAAAAGCACCAGTGAATGACTAATACTGGAGAGCTGCCTGCCTGGAGACACCCTGGAGGGATGCGGGAGAAATAGGGAGGGGAGAGGACGAGAAGGATCTGTTTGAAACAGTAGTATAGGCCTGTCCTACCTCTTGCCGTTGCTATCACGAAGCATGGCTTTGCCCAGCGCCCTGGTCTTCGTCTCCAGTTCCTGAACCTCCTCCAGCAACGTTTTGTGGTAGACATGCTTGGCCCTGCACCACCAAGGGAAGAGAAAAACAGAACAACAAAACAAAAAGCACACATGAACATTTTTGTGTCTGTAAAAGGCCATTTTTTTCTTTTAAAGACAAGAGGTGGAAGGTCCTCCTTTCGGAAAGACTGGGGAAATAAGACACGGGGAAGGTACATACAGAACGGCCCAGGTTCACAGCACCAGGAAGTATCAGACAAGGAATCAGAAGGACCTCCAATTCAGCAGAGCTGGCTGCTTCAACCTATCRCTCCACCGAAAAATAACTGCACTAGGAAGACCTGATGCTACTGCTGTGGGACAGCTCCAGAGCTGGGCACTCAGACAACAGGATGGGACTACAATGGGTATTTATGTGGCAACTTCCACTCSGTCTTCTGAGTCCTGCCTCCCACCTCCCTGAGGGCAGGGGAGAGTCACTGGCAACCAGAGGCCTCCATTTCAGCTACCGGCTTCCCCCGACTCCAAAAGCGCCGCTCTCCCCACTGGGATACACAACCAGATTTGGAGCACAACGTCCCCCACACAGGCCTGGGCCTTTCTTTTCAGCCTCACTTCCTACTTCAGGGCTTTTATTCCTCACTTCTGCCGGCACTAAGAAGAGAACGCAGGCCCCTCCGTCTTCATACCTACAAAGCAAGAACACACAACCCAGGGATCTTTTTCTCCAATGGGCAGTTTTTGATCAGCTTCCTCTTTCGTGTCACATGAAGGAGAAAAAAGTGTCCCATGAGGTGGTATTGATTTGCATACAGGATAAGCTTGAAAACAAGATGGARTCAAGTCAACTGAGATACTACTTGCTTCACCACGTTAAAATTATAATCAATCCTAGAGATGGCAAGGATCGCTTTATACATTTTATAAAAATCTTATACATAGATACTGTAGTCTTCAGCTAGTGATGCAAAAAAAGTCAGTCTTTGCCTGCTAGAGTGTATAAGTGGTATATACATTATTAAAATATAATAACGGTGTATTTTTTTTTAAGATATCATTTTTATTACTCCTTGCCTGGGGAAGAGGAAACACAAAGCTTGCGGAATCTTAGTGCTGAGACTATTTGAGATGATTGTGGCTGGATGTTAATAYTAAGTAATCCAGGCACAATTCTTTCATGGTGCCAAACTAGGCCCCAGATATTGCAAGGTGAAAGGTTAAAATGAAAGCTGCTTTTCAAAATAAATCTGAATGAAAAAAGGAAAAAAAAAAAACCCAAACTGAAACTACTCAGCAAAAGCTGGAGCAAAAGGAGAATATCCTGATGTTGTTAGAATTACATCAGATAAAACCACCTGTATGATTTGCTAGAGAGCAGCAAGATGTTGTGACTGAGGGATAAAACAGAGCAGCAAGAACACTTTAAAACTTGCACTGTTTCAAGAATGTGAATTTACTTCTAAATGCTTTGAAGTTAATTAGATTCAAGCTCCTGTAACTACTTAGATGAATGGTAAGACTCAATCTGCTCTCTGAATAAACTACAGCCATTTTTAAAGAGGACAAAGCTTTGGGCTATTAACTCTTACAATTTTACAAACGACTTGGCTTTCACGCTCTCTTAATTTGGGTAATACATTAAAACCCTGCCTTTCAGCTTGTATCCTGCCTTTTAAAGRGACCACATCTACTACTGCAAAATTGAAGACTAAGTTTCAAGCTTTTAAAGTCCTTTAAACCTTGTTTTCTTATAAGGAAGAGCGTATAAACTGAGGAGTTAATGCAATCTCTCCCAAAACTTCTTGCTCACCTTTATCTTTTCACACTCTATAAGGGTGAGAGAGGTTTTTGTTTTCCTTTGAGAGCAACACTGAGTTCAAACCTTGAGCTCAGTGGATACAGAGCAACACAGGCCAAGCGGTGCAGCACAGTCAGAGCAGGCATTGCAGAGGTATTGCCCAAAATGGACAAAACATTGTCACCCCAAGGTCACGGGTACTGAAGTATTTCAGAAACAGTAAGAAATTCTGAAATACATGGGCTCTGTGTCATGGCAGGATAGCTATAACCTTCCCACACCATGCAGGTAATATTTACACATTGAATGAGTTTTTGGCTTGAAGCAAGAACCTCCATGGAAGAGTGACCAATTTAATATTTCTACTAGTGCCAGAACAAACCTATCCATTAGTTTCTGAAACTACAGAACAACATCTGGGCCTATCCCCATCAAAATTCATAACAAATATTCCTTGGATTGCTTGCAGTGGGAATGGACAGCTCTTTCTTTTTTGACAACAACACATTGCTATCTTTTGGCACATTAAAATATAGGCAAAAGTCATGGTGTTTGCCTTGCACTTGGCTTCAGGTGCAGTATCAGCCCTCAATAAATGATGAGCTCTTGTGTTGGATGTTACTCTTTAGCTGAAGTTTGATGTGGTACATAAGGGCAGGCTCCCCTTTATCTCATGTTGGAATAGTACGATTGTGGATGTAAGAACAGCTGAGGGTTACAGCCACATTTTGAGCAGCCAGCCCTTCCCCTTCCAAGCCAGGGAAGGCAGAGCTCAATGGTCCTGGGAAAGTAGCCGGGAGGTTCTGGAGATCAGAACCTGTGGATGCCTCTGCTGTGACTCGTTTGCAGCAGCACCRTGTCAGGTGCCCTGTGCTCCAGGGACCTGCAGAGGTGTGTGGATGGGATGTGCAAGCTCCTCGTAACTTCTTCTCTCCTACCTCCACTGCCAGAGCTGGCAMAGCTGCCTCCCCTGTCAGCCTTCCCCTACTATCAATAAAAAAAGACATTTTAAGATTTTGGTAATTACTGGAAGGCTCAGGAAATTTCTCACTGTAACACTGGCAAAGTGTTGAGACACCAGTTATTAATAAATTCCTGCTCAGCAAGGAATAAAATAGTTTTTGCTGGAATAAACTGTTTTTATGATTCTTACATAGGTTTATGGGCCAAGTATTTCGAGACTTCCTAGCACGAGTGACATGTATTCAAATGACATGTGCCAAATGTGAGCAAGAACTCGCCTTCCCAATGCTGTTCATGTCAACTAGTAGCATAACTGGGACTTCTGTAAGGCAAAAAATTAAATCCAAACCAAACTACTCAATTTATGGTGGTGGACCAAAGCTAGCAATGTGGTATTACAGGCAAGCACTAATAATAAGCTTCCTCCCCATTCTAAAAAGGGAACTTTTCCACATTTCTTTGAATCACTTAAACATACACATATACACACGGGCAAATATATATACCTTAGGCCTAGAGCTGCATGGGAGGTGAGAGGCATGTTGACAACTGCGGCCTGGGTAACAACAGGACATGTAGCACTAGCTCACACTTGCACTATGGCAAATTTGCATTACATGCTTGCATACAGCATTACAAAGCTTGATAATGGCTACAGAAGAACACTTTAGAAATAACAATATTGGCAAGGGTCTGAAACAATTTCTTTTCTTTTCTTTTAGTCACTTCCAGATGCAAGCTCTCTACTGCACTTACGTTTTGCTGGCAGTGCTCTGTACTGAAATTAGACATACACCTTTCGGGTCACGTGGATCCTTTTTCTGTGGACATATGCTTCTTGTCCAAAAGAAACTGAAAGGAATAAATTCCTTGGCCATAAGAAGTCAGAGCTCCTGGAATTTTATGGCCAAAAACGGATTCTGTGGAATTACAGACAGCAACGTGGTGCAACCACTGCTGTGGAGACGTGCCGTCTGCTTTGCAGGGGCCTTGGGCTCGCGCCGTGCATGGCCAGCCCCTTGGAAAGGAAGCAGGCCTTTACTCCTTCCATATGCCAGTGCTGAGAGCTGTGTCATTTCATTTTTCCTGCTTAAAATGTTAATTAGGTTAATTTTTCAGGGCTGGGTTAAAAGAAAAAGGGGAAAAAAAAAAAAAAAAGTCCTGCTCAGAGAACAGATTTTTTGCTTAATGTTGATAGGAGCCTCCTGGATAAAGTCTGCTGGGAAAATAGCCAGYGTATCAGTCATATATGTTCATCTTGAGAGCTTCCCCACCTCTGCACATTCTTGGTCTGAACCACTGAGCAAGGATTACATTGCTAAGATTGCTCTAAGAAATATTAAAGAATAGGCTCAGTCAGTAAGAGAGTTTTAAATCYGCAATAGCTGAGGACGAGCCTGCCTTGGTCTGGCCCGTTTCACAATTCCCTAGTCATTTTTCCAAGCACTGATAAGAACAGAGGACAACTTAAGGACATATCTGACCTTCAGCTACCATGAAAACATCTCAGAAACAAACTCACAGTCTTTGACACCAAGATGATGCAGCAAACAATTTTGCTCCTATTTACCTTTAATCACAGGAATATTCCATTGACTTCTCTGTAAATGGTTTTAAATAATGCCTGGCACAGGAATAAGACCTGTTGTACTAAATTAATTTTAAGATTTTTTTTTTTTCCAAAGCTTTAAAAAGCTGGTCACAGACACAGCTAATTTTAAGTATCCGGAGTTAAACAATTTAGCCTCAACTTTAGACTTTTAAAATCATTTTCAACGGAGAAATCTAATAAATACAACAAAAAAAAATCTCTAGTATGCTGGACTATTAAATTATAATTTGGCTTCAACAGACATATTACATTATCATACCTAGCTTTAATTTTAGGAGTGTAGCTCATGAAAATTAACCTGAGGGAGAGAAAGGGAAGACATTTTGAAGTATTTAAAGTCCATCAGTATTTACAGATTACCTACTAACAGTTGGTAATCTAACCAACTACTAACAGTTTTGCCTACTAACAGTTCAATTTAGCTGTGCTAAAYTGAGATTTTCAGATGTGCATATGACCTGATTTATCCTTTTAGGCTGATCTTTGAGATGTACTTATATTCAAAAATATTCTGCTTTTCCAGTATTCCTCCTAAAGAGGAATCTTCTTTTACTGACAGATAGCTCCTTCCCAGACCTAAGTGTAACACATTACAATATTTTGCTTTGGGTCAAGTGGCAAGTTAGAAATAGCACCTTTTGCATCATACTCTTCTTGTAATGAGTTATGGAAACCAGAATACCCTGAGGAAGAACAAAAGGGTAAGGCTTTCTTTGCACTCGTCTAGCAGACCAGGAACGCAACTACCAACTCATCTCTCAGCATTCAAAGTGCACGGAAATCTCTTACTTTGGTCCAAAGAAAAGCATTTCTGCAAAATAAAAGCTTCTTGGTTGTAACACAGCTTTCCACTGCAGAAGACGAAAACTTTGGGGCTCAAGACATTTAAAGCAAAGTGAAGAAAACGCAGGAGATTCTACATGATAAGGACAATTCTACATTGAAATGAAGTGTTTTGAAACCAGGGAAATTTGGGAGGAGAAGGGAATAACACACACAAGTGTTCTGTGAGGCTAGTCACACCTCTTGGGGTAGGGAAAGAATCAGGATTTTCCTTCAAATGTGGAGYCCAGAGAGTCAGGCTCTTCTCTCAGTTAGATCAGTCAAGTTGGGAAGACTCACGGTTAAAAGAGAGTCTGAAGAACTGGAGCTTGCAGGGCACTAACTAGTACCACAACTTTACTTTCAACCCAATCTACTAGTCCAACCAAAGAAAGTATTGGGCTCCCTTTCAAGAGCAGGGCACCTTTGAGGTCTAAGTTAAATTTGCCTCTAACTAAAGGTAGACAGAGCAAATAATTATGAAAAGAAACATCCTCATTACAGGGAGAAGGCTCCATCCTCCAGCTTCAGGACTAAAACTGCTCATCTTTTTGCACTACTAGTTGCACTTGAATATAAGGAATGACTCCTACTTCCAGCTTTGCTGAGAGGTCCTTTTCATTCCCTGAAAGGCTCTGCAGTTGCTTTACAGAGAGATACTGAACTGGCAGCCACAGCACATCCCCAACACATCTATGACTTCCACAACACATTCATGCAGAAAATTCCTACCACATCATGAGGGCTCTTTGAGGACTTACGCTCTCCATGCCACATCTTTAACAAGGCACGCAGTGGGCACGAGAAATAAGCCAAACCAGAAGTAACCACAGCGCAACACCATCCCAGCCTGTGAAGAAACAAACAACAAGTCAAGAGCATTTTCAAGCCATCACATGGAATTAACTGATCATTAACAAAAAAAAAAAAAAAGTCACAGCAATGGCATCAAATGGGTACTGGAACCACGATCACGACTACGTTGAAATCCCAGTGATGTTCAGCAAGTGTGGGAAGGGGGAGTCTCATCAGCTCTTAACAGAAATTGTGCTTGCAAATAACAACGAGGAACATTATGTCCCATTGGCATCACTTCCTACAATCCAAAACACTTTGGCTGTCTTCAGAAAGATAAATAATATATATATATAAACATATATGTGTATCTGTTTTGATCTAATCCTCCACTGATACTAATTTATGTATGCAGGCAATTATGTATTTTTCCCTCCRGGAAAAGTGCATGACAAATATGCTCCACTTGCTCTGTTGACCAACTTTTCTGCCCTTTGCCTGCTCTCCCTCCACTCGCAATTCCAGATTCCTATCATCAAACTGACATTATTAAAAAAAAATCAACAAAATATCTCAGTCATATTCCACTTAAATACAGCATTTCTGTACAAATTACTGCCGTCTGAACCCAGCATGGGAAAAATTCACTCCTGTCCCCACAAATGACTGTTGACAAACAGAGAGCTCAAAGTTTACGTTTGCATTTCTTTCACTGTGGCAATGCTTCAGGGAAATGCTTGCTAGGATTTGAGAGAGAAGATGTCCAGAAACCCAACATGTCCCAGAACACATAACCCAAAACGTCTCAGAATATGTAAGTACTTTCAGAACCAAGTTGAAACATGGTGCCTTTTCTTTATTAAGAAGTTGTTTTAAGGCTCTCCTCTTACAACTTTTTAACTAATTAATGGTGAGCAAGGCCCTGAGCCACTATGTGCAAGACTTCAGAACACCTCACCACCTCTTGCACACACACGTATGCTCCCTATAAGGCTCCTTTTACTTCTCTAGTAAATTTTATACTAGTAAAATGTCTGGAAAGAGCTGTGTGCAGCACACATGACCCCGGACACCGTCTCAAAGGTGTCAGCAGCATTTCCCGTGGCCACACTCTGCCCTCTCACCAGCCACGGACGTTGCCAGATGCCTTCCCCCTCAGCGCCTGGTGGGCCACCTGCACCACGTGTGGGTGGTGCTCACGGGTGAGGCCATGGAGGGGAGGGGACAGGGAGGTGGATCCCCTTGGGCACCGCGGCGGAGCTGCCGCCTGGGCCGCGCTCGGCTTCACCACAGCGAGCGGTTGAGCGAGGGGCCGCGGCAGCCCGCGGAGCTGAAGCTCCGGGGCCTCGCACAGGGGAAAGTCGAGCTACAGAACACAGAACTGCACCAAACACCCACCAGCCACGTGAGAACCAGAGAATCACAGGCTGGTTGAGGTTGGAAGGGACCTCTAGAGATCACCCAGTGCAACCCCCTGCTCCAGCAGGGACACCCAGAGCACGGGGCACAGGGTGGCAGCCAGGCGGCTTTGGAAGATCTCCAGAGAAGGAGMCTCCACAGCCTCCCTGGGCAGCCTGTTSCAGGGCTCTGGCACCCTCACAGTCAAGTTCTTCCTCACATGGAGATGGAACTGCCTGGGTTTCAACTTGTACCCATTTCCCCTTGTCCTGTCACTGGCCACCACTGAGAAGAGCTTGGCGCCTTCCTCCCTACATTCTCCCCTCAGGTACTTATACATATTGATCAGATTCCCTCTCAGCCTTCTCTTCCCCAGGAAAAASAGGCCCAGCTCATTCAGTCTCTCCTACTACATGAGGAAACGTGATTTGTGATTATACCCTTGCAATACAAATCTGCTTGGCTGCAGCAACAGAAGGAACTTCTGCTACTCACTGCACACGAGATTCAAAACTGAGAAAACCCACCACATTTCACGGCCAGGACATCCACCTGCAGCACCCCAGATTTTCCTTCCCTGTTGATAACTACTTAAAAGGCATCTGCCTCACAGTCCAGCCGCGTTTAGCAGCAACTTGCTCTTCGACTGCCAAGCARCGATGACTTCCAAGATCCTTTTGCCCTTTTCGACTGTTAAATCCCCCGAGCTGCTGCTGCTGGAGTGCCAGATCAGTGGTAAATCCTGTGCTGGAACCAAGCGTGAGTTACACCACGCTACAACGTTTATGGACACTTTGCCACCCACGTGGAGAGGAAGTAAACAAATTCCAGGCGGAGAATGAGCTCTCAGTCAGTCGYGATCCCTCATGCCTACTTCCACATCGGAACGCCCGGAGCATATGGTCAGTTCTGAGCTAGGCTTWTTTAAGGGAAAGGGTAATAGAGGGAAATCTTTAACCCTTTCGTTAGTCAAAGAGATGGACTGGAACAAGAGGGTGGTAAAATGCCATTGGATTTGTTCTCCTGCCTTAGCTGTGGCAGTGCGAGCAGCCTCGTCAGGTCAGCGTCTCCAGCGACCCCCTCCCGCCCGCTGTGCTAATGAAGCCTAAACAAAGGCCCGGAGAGACCCCAACGCACTCTCTGGTATTTCYGATTTATGTATTTTACACTCCGCTTCTTTGCTTTCTTAGATAAAAGCAGCTCAAAGRGCTTTTAATACACTAAACAATTCAAGCACTTGTCTAGTAAAGACTGAAACTGTGGTACTRTCAGTTCATTCAGTAGCCTCAAATCACTTTTGTTATCTCATACCTTAAGCTCTCCTTGCACTGAAGAGCCTCAAGCCAGGTACTTTTTTTACCTAAAATTATAGATTTTACCTAGGTCTTATTCCGCAAACAGCACAACTGTTCCCCTCATTTCAACCCTTTAAGTCAGAAGGAAAAAGAGCTTGTTTTTTAAACAAATTCAAAACTTGACCAGCTCTGTCATCCCAGAGGCCCCATGCTACACAACAAGGTCATTTTCACTCTGGCTCCTGGTGTAAACGAGCACATCCAACGCCRGCTACCAGAAACCATTCGTCACGGAGCACCCGGAGAGCACCCACGGCTAAGGATGAGTTTCTCCCTTGAAGATGTTGCAGCAAAACTTCCTGCCATCACCAGACTGCCGTCCAAAATGCCCCAGCGAAGCTGCCACAGTGCACCTGCCCCTTCCAGGGAATGGATAATACTTTTAAAAGTTAGGGAAAAAAAAAAAGAAAGAAAGAAAGAAAGAAAAAGCTTAGCTCCAGGAATTTCAGCTGAGCAGCAAACAACCTAGATTCCAACGCCCTGACCATGCTGAGCATRCTTAAGGATGAGTCTATTAAAACAAATAAATAAATGAAAGCAAGTAGGATGCAATAGCACTGGCAAGAGTCACCAGGAGGATTTGCTTGGTAATGCCATTGTTTTAGAAAGCTTGTGTTAAGTTTTTATCAGTACTATTATTATTATAAAAAAATTTTATAGGAATAAAGAATTTATTATAGGCTATTTTCCCCGCTTTATTAATTCTTTCTTAAGATGCAAATAAGTATAACTCCTCGTTTTACTTTTCAACCAATAGGTGGTGCCACTAATTTCCCTAATTCCTTCCAAATGAGAATTACAATGGCATAAAATAGCCAAGTAGGGGCGGGGAGAGAAATATTTTGGTATTCTTATCACAGCAGGGTTAAGCAACGAGTGGGGACCAATAAATGATTCAGACAAACCAAGAGTCTCAGCCTCCTTCAGAGATCATTCAAGACAAAATTTAAATTCACATTTTGAATAATAAAAGCTTTTATTACTTCATTTCCTCATATATCCATGCATCCTAATTCTGATTAAAAACAGACAGGGAAAGCGTCAGGTCACCCGGAAAACAGCTGGCCTTGTATTTACAGCGCGACAAAAATTATTACTGGAAGCGTGCCCAGATCCTGATCATATCTGTCTCCACGAGGCACAAGTGAGGACCCAATAAGCTGCTCAGTTTTGGTTTCATATTCGTTCGGATGCCGGTTTTATACGACTGAGATCCAAGTTCAAATTGTGCTGCGCTAGACACCGCAGAATCGCGGCCAAGGACTTTGTGCCTCGCCAGTCCCGTGTGGACAAGGGCAGCAGCTCCGTGCCGACCGCGCGGGCTCAGACCACAGCCAGGATCACCAGTTGCCACCACAAAGACATGAGTGATGGAGACAGAGGTGACAAGTGTCACTGCGGGTGCAGCTGCCTGGAGGGACGGCTCGAGCCGCACAGTGTCACGGCAGGAGAAGAGCAGAACGGCACAGCAGCCTTTATCTGACCAGGACACAAACACACTTTCTCTTAGAGGGTCTGCGTGCTCTTGGTCCTACAAAGGCTGCGTGTTTGAAAGCCAACACCGAGTAGTTCTCTTCATTCACAGGACCTAGAAGTTTAATATTGAATGGGCAAGCCCACAACACCTTATCAAACTGCTGGCTGAATAAKTTTTAAGGAGACATGCAGCCTGCCACACATTAACACTGTGAGCACATCCACGCTTTGCAAATGATTAGAAGATATTCTGTCACACAACATTTCATTTTCTTGAATTGTGCTGAAGGTTTTTTCCTTCCATTCAAATGATGAGAGAGCAATTGTTAAATGTGGCCAAAACCACCTCCCAGAATTTCTATTAGTTTAYGTGCAGCGATCAGTATCTTCATTCCATGCTGCTATATGGTATGAAACATCCTAATTGAGTTATATTTATTGTATTATATAAATAGGACCCTTGAAATGCCACAACTATCAGACCCACGTTACAGACCTCGAACACTAAAAGCCAAGCGCAGAGCGATGCCACGGGTGGCTCCCGGTCGCACAAATCAGTTGCAGAGCTGGGCAGGTTGCCCAGGTCTCTCAATTAGATCAGACTACATAGAGCCTGAGCCTAGCGGGGCCTGAGTATGAAACACAATCAACATCCAGGAATGCAGGCTCCAGGACTTCCCTTGTGCACGCTGGAACATAATCCAGCCTCAACCTGAGTTGGTGCTTAAGAATTTTTTCTTTAATACAACCCCAGCCAGCTCCAGGCTGGACAGATTTACTAGATTCAGGGCTGACAGGTGTGAGGAACAGATTTAACAGGTTCCTC